AGTACCTTTAAAAACATTGAAAAAGAACTAACAAAATAAGTCTCAACTAGTTTTTCAATTTCCAAATTTCGATGTTCAAGAACAAGTGAGAATCCCACTATGACAATTCACAAAACATTCCTTTCGACATAGGTCTCATCTAACCTCAAGCGCTGGCATGAAACGACGATCGATCTCTATAACATCCAAACGCTTGCAGCCAGTCTCAAGCAAAGAACGTGTGATTCCGCCAGGCCCTGGGCCCACTTCAATTACGTGATCTTCACTTTTTATACCAGCCTGCTTAACAATCTAAACAAGCAGAAGTACAAAAAAACCAACGCTGTAAGGTTATTGGCTTGTCAAACAACTAAATTTTTTCAACATTTCAGTGTACTAATAACAAGAAACCAGACAGAACTTCGACTGCTAATGAACACCACCTTCCGAGTTATATTGAGATCCATCAAAAAGTTCTGAGATAAGATCTTTCTTGCCCGAATTTGGTACATATGGATGAAATCCCGTAATGCGGGTAGTGGAGGTAAACGTGAGAATGATTTAGCCATTCCATTCGGTTTCTAATGGCTTCGCAACGAATCTTTTCAAACCACTACAACAATACCAAGCGACAGCCTGCCTAAGGAACTTAAGAGAAAAATATAAAATGAATTAATTGACAGCTGTAGATGGGATTTAAAGAAATTGTAGCCCATGCCATAGCAAAAGAATATGAAGGTTGAAATGAATCACCCAACTCTGTCCTCTGATGACATGCTTCTGTATATTTTTAAGGCTTTACAAAAGGTAGCGGCAAAAATTTATTGGTTTTTCAAGCCACATTTAATTGTTTATGCTAATATAGCAATTCAGAACAAATACATTGATGCCTTCAACAACACTCAATTACGAGTATCTTAATAATAATATTAATCATTTGACGCCAACGACCAAAATCCCACATATTTCGAGAACTCAATCCAATCATAAGTGAAAAAAAAATAAAAAATAATTATTAAGGTGAAGTAATTTGAAAAAATGTAAAAAAATTTACCAGCATTAAGTCACAGCCTCTGAGAAGGAAAGATCTTATTAAACCATAACAGTTAATAAAGTGTAACTATAAAACCGTTGAAGCATCCAAAAAGTTAATGAACTCTACAGAATTCTACAGCAATAGAAATAAGGAGGTTAAGGAGAGTCAAATGGACATGAATAGCAAAACATCTCCTTAGAATTCAACCGTGCATTAAGCTGACAGGAAATTGGCAAATAATAAGCGTCTTACTGCAAAATTCTAACAAATGCCATAAAAGCTCTTCCAAAGCTGAATGTAGTCTACATGCTATAAAAATTTCAAATGACAGCCAAGTTCAAAATAGTGTGAAGTAATTTAAACTGGTAAGGCTTTTTGTACTTAAAAGGTATTAGATTATGAAGCTTCAAAAGTTTTCTGAGCCTGCTTTTGTTCTGGTAGAGCAATGTTTATAAACTGCTGGTAAGCCTTTTCGAGGTCATCATTTACGATCTTGTGGTCGAAAAGAGTTGGCTCGGCAGAAACTAAAAATTAATTATAATCACTTAAACGGTTAAATTTTACAAAAAGTTAACATTGATAGTAGTAACGGCAAAAAAAAAAAAAAAACGATCATAGCTAAAATTTTACTGATATTGACATCAATAAGCCCAGCAATAATAATAATAGTAATCACAATAATAATAACAGATATTCAGACAGCAACCATCAAATGTGATAGGTTACAAAAAAAAGCTTAAAATCTGAAAAAGCAACAAAACTGAAGTGAGCAGAAATAAAGGCTAAAAATTTCACTTTAATGCCTTCTCAGGTAAATACCAAAAAAATACAGATCTTCGATTCTACATACTACTGCCTCCGAATCACCCTACAGTTCACCTTCTACTTCATAACTAAGTAGAAGAAATCTGTGACATCAAAGAATCCAAGCGCCTAGAGCCAGAAGCAGAAATTAAAAACCGACTTTCTCTTAGAAACTTACTAGCATTGAGGTCTTCCACCGCATGTTTTAAACGTTTCTGTAACGACTCTTCAGTCTCTGTCTTTCGACCACGCAGGCGTTCGGTCTAAAATAATAAAGCAAAAAAGTGGAAAGAGATTGAGTCGTACTAAAAATAACACAACTTTCTGCATCCTTTAAAACTTCCCAATTGAACATTTAATAATTCTTGAGAACCGATGCTGAAAAAAGAGTATTTAGAGTAAAATGTACCAAAGTTTGCATATCTGGAGCAGTCACAACAACGAATACCGCGTCCAACGTACTTTTTCTGATGTTACGTACGCCATTCAACTCGACGTCGAGGATGCACACTTTCCCAGTCTTCTGAACATCTTCAACCGCCTTCCTCCTAAAATACCTTCTGAAGATTCCATACGGGAAGGATAATACCCACTAAAGATCAAAAGGTAGACTCTCTCGATTTTCCATATTGATAGCTCGATTTTCTAAGACCAGTAATTAATCGCTGCGATCCCCCGTCACAGCTATTAAACTTGTCAAAGATAACAGAGAGGAAGAAATTACGAGGTGCCATATAAATTTCCTCCAAACGTCGCGTACTCTAGAAACTCTCCCTTCTCAATCATATCATAGAATGTATCCCTATCAGTAAAATAATAATGGACGCCATCCGTTTCTCCTGGCCGTGGTGTTCGCGTAGTGTCTGAAAACTTAAGATTTCATCTGCCATGTCAAATAGCAACAACTACACCACTTAAAAACAACTTGTTATTGTATTTTCTTTAGAGACCCACTACGATGGCCAATGAGTAGAAAAACTTGAGAATTTTCCAAAAAAAAATTTTTTTTGGCAAAAAAACAAAAAATGAGTTTCCATTACAATTGAGCTGCGACTCTTTGTTTTGCTTTACCTCTGTGCCTTATCAGTTTTTTGAATTAACATAACAAATACCCACGAGAAACACTCAGAGCAAATGTGTCCGGATAAGTATGAAGAGCTCGTTGGATAAAAGTACTTTTACCACTCCCAGATGGTCCCGAGAGAACCAGTGGACGCATTGATAGAAACAGAGCTGAAAATGAAGTTTACAGCATGACAACATAATACCTTTATATCAGGATCATAAATTGTTAAGGATTCCTGTGCTCGAAATTCAGTCATTTTGATGTAGCCAAAAAACGTTTCGCTTTGCCACAAACAACCTGAATAAACATCAATGACAAAAAAATACAATGAGTATTTGCAAGTACGTGGAAAAATTTTTTTTGATTAATCACCAGTAAATTATAGCTCCAAAAATGCAGCTGCTTTCTTTTTTTTTTTTCTAAAGAGAAGTGTGCGAGATTCATAACCAACAAAGATAAGAGCTTTTTCTGAATCGACACTAGGAAAACTAAACCATTTGGCTGACACCTCAATTATGGAAATAAAATTAGGGCAAATGCCATTAACAGCAATCTGCTACAACAACCAAAATGAAGCCGCTGATAGTTATGTAATAAAGCGTCTGTCTGTCTCTGAAGAGTCTAATAAAACCGGAAAAAATATAGGTTTAGTTTCCATGGATATATGTTGTTTGAATACTACAACTTTTATCGTTGAAAAACTGAATTAATTATAGTTATGGCTTCCAAGCGAAATTAGAACCAACTGATAGTTCCAAGAACCAACTCATGATTCAGCATTGGTACGACAACAGTGCATAAACAGCTGCTATGGGTTTCAGTTATAACCGGAAATTACGTGACCATAAGGCGTAAATAAATGCATTACGTTTACACAGAATCCAGTGGACAATGACATCAATAGGTTGGGCCCTATCGAAGCCTTGTACCGCATTCCCCTTCCATATAAAATAAACGTTTTCTACTATCATTTGAAACAGCAAAGATAGTGTCTGCTTAACTGGCCGAGAATGATCAAGAAATAAAGTCGGTGTTCTGCCCATCAGTTAGAAGTCAAACAAGGAACAGCGTGTAAACTAAGCAGTCTTGAACCATTTAGAACGTAAAAACCGAAAACAGCAAGAACGCTGGTAAATTCATTATTACTACTTTTACCATTATTTTTTTGGACCAAACCTTCATTCACTATCTTTCAAAAAAAAAAAAAAAAAAAAAAAAAAAAAA